TTTTTTTTTTTTTTTTTTTAGTTTTTGTGTAATGCTATGTGCGTGTTTGGATTTAGGGAATCGTAGTTGTTTAGGTTAAGGGTAGAGAGGACCGTCCCCAATATTGCATTGCACAATGATGAGTAGTAATTAGAAATAAAGTCTATTGCATGAGCGTCAACCAGTAGTAAGTATAACTGATGGCAGGAAAAAAGTTTAGAAGATATTTACTTATGGTTAACATTCTCAGTTACTATGTTGCCTTAAAACTTAAAGCGGTTGTCTCTTTAGCGCCAACTTTAAGGGAATATCCTCTCTAAGGATTTGATCAAGGATTTCCAAGCTTGATTATTTTTATACATGCCCTAATGCTGGGTGAACTTAGAACTGTTTTACATGGATTGTATATATGGGAGTATATGTCATGACTGGTGTGTGGTCTTGAGATAACAAATACTGATCTAGATGTTAAATTGAAAGCTAGTCATGGGGGCATAAATAGGCCTAGTACTAAATTAAAACTCTTGGCTTTAGTTGTCCCGCAACTCTTTCTTTAAAAAAAACTTCAAACTTATAGACAATTTGAAAAAAAAAAATCATGCAGTGAACACCCTTATTCGCTTCATCTGCGGGTCATCAGCTGTTAACCTTTCACCATGTTTGCTTTCTCTCTGTATATACACGCCTGTGTGTTTTTCTTTATTATTAGTTGAAGATGGCCACATATGTGGTGCTAACGATCAAACCCAGTGCCTCCGACGTGCTAGGCAAGTGCTCTATCACTGAGCTACAATCCTAGCCTGTGTGCTTTTTCTTAATGTTGATTTTATTCTTTAGAATAAAATGTCTTTTAATTTTCTCAGGTACTTAAAAGTATTTGTTAGCTTGGGAAAATGTGCAGTTGATCATGGAAGTACTTCTAGACTGCACTTAAATTTTTTATCCTGTATGGGGGAATATGATCCAAAGCTCTCTAAACTAATAATTCATTCTAATGAAGAAAAACAATCCTCAAATTTATCTGTGGTTCCAAAACAGAATCTTAAGGATATCTGCTTTGAAAAAAAAAAAAAAAACATAAAAAAGCACTAACACCAGAATTTTTAGTTTAATTCAAGCTTAGTTTGCATCCATTTTGTAAAATGTTCTGAAGTCCTTGTTACAATTAACTTAGAAGAACTAAGATGCCAATGAAAGTCTGTGAAATTGTTTTATGTAGTTAGGACAAGGGGCAATTCGTAGGTGGAGGGGCACCAAGTAGTGTTGTTCTTCCATTTTCTTAAATATTGATGTAGAATCCTGGGAAGTTGGTTCCAGAAAAAGAGCTAAGATCTTCTCAAGAATTTGGACAGTTTCCTAGTCTCTCCTTTGTTTTTTTGGGCTAAGTAGCACTGAGAAAGATCAATTCAAAGACTATCAGTAACACGGTTTTTCCAAAAGTGTATGGGTTCATTTCTACCTCCTCTATTTTAAGTGTTATTCAGCTGTAAGCTTTATTATTTCTCACTTTTTTTTCCTGAACAGAACAGTTTTTAAGATTTATTTATTTATTTATTTAGGCAGGCTTAGTGGTGCACCACTGGTACTACAGCTACTCAGGAGGCTGAGGCAGAAGGATCATGAGCCAAATTGCATTTTTGAAAGATTTTAATTTGAGCATTTTTTCCATGAACCATTTTGGTTTCCCTTTATATGAATTTCCTTTTCCTATTTTTTTTCCTAGGTTGTTCCATTTTTTTCCCCTCTTAACTTCCTGGAGATTGTCATCTATTCCATTTATTTGTCCCTTGTCACTTTCAGGTGTTTGAAATATTTTTTCCAGAAATATCTTTTTCCATTCTTTTATGTATTGAACCTAATCTTTATATAATTAAATTTCATAAGGATGAACTGATTAGGTTACAGCTCTCATCCAGTCATTTCATATGTAAACACTGGAGCTTTTGGGGAACACCACGTATCTAAACCATAGCAGTTAATGTTTTGGGAATTTTAAGAAATGCTTTTCTGTCCTTAGACCACATTTTAAAAATGCTGTTTCATTTTCTCTTTCACTTAAAACTTTAAGATACCTGGAATCCATTATTTATGGTTTGAAGTAATCGAAATCATTAATTTACTCAGCACATTTTAATGGAGTGCCTACTAAGGGCAAGATACTGTTCAAGTTACTTTGTATAATTTGTGAACAAATATACCTGCCCTTGTAAAGTTTATGGTGTTCTACAAAGAGTAGGTCTTTACTGGGTCATCACCTATTTTGCTCAGGGTAAATTCGACAAACTTTCAGATGGTATTAGTTACGGAATAGGCTTTACTTGGAAAAGGAAATTCTTTTCAGGTCAATATCAGTCAGAAAGGAAAACAAAGATTCGTCATCCTTTCATCATCCCAAAGAGTAACCAGCTGGAGTAGAGATAATGGAAGGACAGGTATGATACAAGTTTATTTGAGTAGTGAATTCTACCCTCTGTTTATCCTTCTTGTGGTGTAAGTGTTAGAGCAACTTCAATAATACGGGAAAAAATAGGTCTTTTTATACCAAGCAGTTTAGATTTGAGTGTCAGCTTTTTATAGATTGAAGTTGTCAGGAAACCAGCTATCTAGCAATTGGAGATATTGGGACCCTTTCTAAAGTAGAAAGGGAGACTATTATTTTCCTACTGCTACTGTAACATTATATAAATTTATTAACTTTAAAAGCTGCCAATTTATTAGTTTACAGTTCTGGAGGTAAAAAGTCTGAAATGGAGCTCTGGAATTAAATCAGGTGTTGGCAGGGCTGTATTTTATAGCTTCTATAGGAGAATCATTCCTTTCCTCTTCTAGTTTGTTTAGATGCTTCCTGCATCTCTTGGCTTATGGTGCCTGCCTTCCATCCTCAAAGCCAGTCACAGGCTCCCATTGAGTCACCTTGGCTTCTCTTAAGTTTCCTTTTCTACTTTTAAAGATCTTCATGATTCCACTGGGCTCACTTTTTAATCCAATTTAATCTGTATTTTAAGGTCAAGGTTGATAACTTTTAATTCCACCTCCCACCTTAATTCTTTACCTTCATAATAGATTCCCAGGTTCCCAATCATTATTCCTAACTATAGAGGTGTTGGTTTCTTGAGACTTTGTCAGGCCCTTCCCACTTCAAAAAAGTAGAGGAAGTTCCTAGTCCATACAAACCAGTTTAAGTTCCTATGGTCATTTTTGGACAGTTCTGGTCTTTGTGCTTTAATGACGATCCAATGGGAAGAAACAAAGTGTGTATGTATATATCATATATAAATAGATATACATACTATGGTATGTATAATAACATATATGTACAAAATATATTAACATAATAAGTTAAAGGGCAAGTGCGATGGAAAAGAAGGAAAAGGAGTAAATAAGAGACAGATAACAGAATTAAGTGGGTATGGTTACTGAAAAGACAAGATTCAGCTAAGAAGACATTTGTGGGTATTAGGTTTCAAGCAATCTGAAAAATTGGAGCAAAGACCATAGGACAGCAAGAATCAAGAAAGTTCATGTGGGAGGGGGAGTAGGAAATGGGAGATATATCATGTGGTGCCCTTGTTGGCTATTGTGAAATCTTTGGGTTGTACAGTAACTGGTACCTATCAAACGTGCTGTGATTTAACTTCATTTTTAAAAAGGATACAACTCTGACTGTTGTATTGACTGAGAATAGACTGTAGGGGGCAAGGCAGACAGAATTCTGTTAACATGCTATGGTAATAGTCCAAGTAGCAGAAGGTGGTGGCTTTTGAATTAGTATATGCAGGACCCTATATTAGAATAAGCCATAGTTTGGCCCCACCTGGAATAATGTGTGTTTAGATTGATATATCTAAAATGACAATACAGAACCACAAGCAGTTTAGTTTCACTGACCTGAATAATTTTCATATGATGGTGGGTTCAGAATAGAACTGTTCTATGTAAATACGTTGCCTGATTCTCAGTAAATAATGGTTATCATTAACAGGAATGAATATTTGAATTCACTTTGTCAAATATTGTAACTGGGAGCACAGATTCCTTTGAAAGTGTTGGAATACCAGA